AATTCACTATTCTAGAATATATAGAACTTCCAATTTACTTCGCGGAGGGAGGTTTCAGAAACATAACCAAATTCCCATGCATACAAAATGGCCACAGGATCTGTTAAACATGGAAATGGTAGTAAAAAAATGGGAAAGTAATTTTTAACATTAATTATATGACCACATAAACCCGTTAGTTTGTTTGTCTTTGTTATCCAGTTTATGTTAGTCAGTTAGGATCACAGTTACAGTCCATATGTTTGTTGAGATAGAATTGCAAGAAAAGAATAAGCCAATAAAGTTAGTTTTTAACGGCCACTCAGAGGCAACAACGAATTTCACTTAGGTACCTTTCGAAAAATTTTTTCTCAGGGAGCTCTGATTGTCGCCAACGCGCTGCAAACGCCCTAGGCGATGCAACTACGCATGCGACACAACACTGTACCTCCGATCACGCGGGAAGACAATACATTCACGCATCTTTCCAAAATTTACCCGCCAAGCCACCCGGATGCCCGGATGAGAAGGTTGCCGCCAAAAGACCGCAGTTTCCGCAGACGACACATGCCTGATCTCTCTCCGAGGCCGCTGACCGGCGCACGGAGCGCCAAAATTTTCGCCGACCTTTCTAAAATTTTGGAACCAGCGTCAACTCTATTTTTCGGCAGTATAATAACCAGAGACGGTGACCTGGTTTCAAAGTGTACAGGACTTGGACTTTCTTATTCTTATCTCGTTCCAGATTTTGTTTGCATTGTTACTAAAACCTAAGCTCTAATTAAAGCTCACAAATTTTTACAAAACCATATCTCGAGTTACAAATCTCCAAAATTACTAAACCGAGCACAACGCCCACAATTCAGCTCTCACCGAGACTCAACAAAAAAATATTGTGTAACCATATACAGGGTAGTTCAAAACCCGTTACATAACATTCTAAATCATAATAACTTTTTCGTTTAAAACAAAGTGCAGTGCCTATAGTGCGTCTTAGAACACATCGACAAACAATTAGAGCGTGGATCATGCACCCAACGCAAAGTCAAATCTCGTCATCAATGGAGGAAGAGCGAAAGCCTCCGCGTCTTTCCCCGACGTTCATCGGCGAGAAGGCGACCATTCCAGCACCGCAGGTGAAAATGGAACCACAACCCATCCCATCCCATTATGAGGGTTTACGACCATCTAAACACGCTAAGGGAAAATGATGGTAAGTTAACTCCACCCCAAGCTAGTCAGACCAATCAAAATCCACTACCGAACGAACAGACCTATCGAAATCCACGACACTATCTATAAGTAATAACCTGACATTTTCTAAACTATTTATTGACCAACCGGACTTTGGGTAAAAATGATTTATATCGAGTTTCAAAGTTTTCAACAAATACCTATATTTTTGTAAACACAAAATAATACATGTTTCCATATGACAGATGTTCCTCAAGTATGTATGTTCATATGTTTTTTAATAAACAAATACAAAAATATATTTACTTATGTATATAACGAAAAATGTGGAGTAGGCTAATTGAAAGTAGTTATATGTTTTGAAACAATGTTTTCATTTATAAGATAAAGATTACAATCACAAGTTTCTTACGTCACATTTCAAAATATACATGTATGTATATATTGATGGGGCTGATGAGATTGATGAGTGATACATTAGGTATCAACGATATTTTAACAAGATAAAATTAACAAGTTACGTGTCCGATTAATATTTCTGAATAAAGAAAATATAAGTGGCGTGAAATTAAAAACACAATTTCTTAAAATTTAAGAACTGTTGATTTCTTTTACTATCGACATGACGTGCAGATTTGCGGTAAATACTGGTCAAGAATCATTTTTATACCAGGACTATCGAAATATGTTCGACGAATGCGAAATGTATATATTCAAGACATCCGATTTTCAAATAAACAAGACAAAAGCTGTACTTTCTTTATAGGGACATGAAAACATGCACAATGCTGATATGTAGGAAATATTTCTCATTAAATATAAGATGTACCTTTTGGGGCGATTGGAAATGCATTATTTAATACTGGAACATCTCATCCAATGCCACAATCATGAATGTGAAAGCCGATAAAAAACCTACAGTTTTTGATAATATTGCCATTCACTCAGTAGATTTTTTTGAACAGCTGGGGCATTTTTTTAATGTTACTAAAATACTATTCAAACTTTTTGAACTACATTTTTACATTTTTGGTCAGATCAATGTCAAGATGATATAACGATAGCATTTCGTACGGCTAGGTACGCAAGTGGGGCCTCAACATTTTTTATATTGAGTAGGGCAAATTAAATATATTGAACCATCTTTATCAACAGCATTCATTGTAAGAATAGTTGTAATAGCAAATTTAAAGCTCTCGATAGATTGAAAGAGGCTGATTATTATTATACGACACCTGCTAATAAAACTTCTCGGACAAGTTATTGTGTAAAAGCGAAAATAATTGAATTTCGCTAGTAATATTAAATTTAATAAAACCAGTTTCTCGAATAATGTAGATAAAAATAGATCTGTAGTCCGCAAGGTGTCTCTATACAGAAAGATGATGTTGAGTTGGGAAACGAAGACTCGAGTCACATTGAAGCCAGAATTCAACTTCGTCTAATGTAAACAGGACTGCTATTAATCTCAGTTCTCCAGGTGAGGATCCTCTGGATATTTGCGGCCCAACTTTTGTTTCTCCCTTTATGGCAACTTTGAAAAAAAACGGGACTATTACAATTTGTCTAGTTAGTAGAAATTTAAATTCCTTAACTGAACGCGATTATGAAACTCCTAAGCCCATTGAAGAAATAATGTTAACTTTTCGCAGTGCCAAATTTTTCAGCTGTTTGGATTTGACTCATGGCTACTTTCAAATACCACTTGCACCTGATATTAAAAAGTATACAGGTTATATGTTTGCTAATAAAACTTATCAATTTCGTGTGTTGCCATTTGGTTTAAGTAATGCGTTTGCTAGCTTTTCTCGCGCTTATTTTAGGCCCTGAATTCTATGATTTTGTGATTGTTTACATTGATAACCTTTTAGTATTGTCAAATACATTTTCTGGGCACCTGCAACACTTAGATAAAACCTGACATGTCCAGAATTGAAGCCATTATGGACTACAAAACGCCACATGACGTCAGAAGCTTGCAAAGGTTTTCGAGGCTCTGCAATTTCGATCGAGTTTTTTGTTCGAATTTGCCTAATTTTGTTGAGCCGTTAACCTTTCTACTTAGGGAAAATAATACATTCCAGGAATTAATTAATATATAAATACTATTAAGCCTCTGGGTTAGACAACCAACCTCACATATATATAAACTTTTTACCTGCATATTTTTGGCACCATTTTTTAGGCCAGCAAATGTTTTTTATTCCGGACTTGGCCATTTTGATCAAAACCATACTGGTGATAGTAACCTCTGGGTTTTTTTGAACGACTATTATAACTATATATAGTACAACAGGCCAGGTTCTTGTATTGGTGCTAGGTAAGACTTTGTTTTTATGTATTATGTTGTACTATCCTAAAAGCCAGACTAGTTTTCTAGTGTGCTTTATCAAAGTTCTTATCAAAGAAGCTCACCTCCAAACTGCCTTAATAAACTATAGAAGCAAATCGTGGCATTTTTATACTGAAAGAAAAAGCTCTGCCTCTGTCTCGACTCAACACATGCACAACTTGTTAACGAACGCCAACCTCAAAATTCACCTTTCGAAATTACACACACCCCAGGAATTCACCAATCAGTCCTACGACTAACCACAGACTGTAGTATAATCCTAGCCAATTAACGATTCTCAGCTACAAAAACCGAAATCCAGTTGCCGATCTTCCAGTTACCAAAGATCGAAATTTCCGTTATGGAATATCACAATTAATAAAAACACACCCCTCCATCTGAAAGAAATCGACTTGACCATATTCTCATTAGCAATATTAGTGGAAGAACTCAAAGTGGACCGATTCAGTGTGGAACCTCCTGACACCATTTAACATTTGAGTTTTTTATCATCATTATATTATGCTTGGGTATCATCACGATTGCTGTCCACACTAAATGCAGACATCAATGTCCCAACCTGTTCCGGCAACCTTGAAAAGAAAGACCGAAGAACGTCGCCTTCCAAAAACCATCGGCAGGAGACGATGAAACCACTTCGACGGGAGGAGTTATATTAGTGTCCAAATGACATCATGTTATTTTTATATCTTTTTATCACGATATTAGATTTCATTTATATATCTAGAACGCTACGTAGATTATTATGCTTATTTAACAAAAGATAAAACTTGTATAAACAGCTGCCAGAAGATGCAGAAGCCAGATTGTTGTAAACTTGTAACAAACGAAGTGTATATTATTTGTGCCCGCTTTCAACAACACTTACATCTTCTACCATGGGATCATCGCCTCTCTCAGAAAGACAGTTGGAACTACAAAAAACTAAATCAAGAATTCTTTTGAATCCATTGAAGACAATTATATTGCGGCGCTAAGTCAAATATATTAATTAAATTATCAAGGTTCAACATGTGACGATTTTCCTCACGAGTTTCCGCGAGTATTGAATAATCTGTGATATTAAAATCTCCAATTAGTATCATGTGCATATAAAATGCACACTTAAAATTATACTTATCAAAATAACCACGTATCATGGCACTACTCTTGGCGTAAAGAAATAGACAAAGCATTCATGTTGAGATGATATGAAGTTATTATATGTAGATAAATTATGTTAAGATGATATAAAGTTACTTTTGGCCAATTTATGTACCTAAGTATATTTGCACATTTAGTAGATTATGCAAATTAAATAGGAATAAGGTTCAAATATTGTGATTTTTACATTTGGAAAAAAATTAAGGTAGACATGCATGATTCTGAAACCACATGTCATCACTTACGATTTTTACTTGATATAGTAATTTTTCTGCTTCCAAATTACTGCATTAATTTGTTCGTTTGCACATCAGTTAAATAAAAGCGAAGGGGCATGAAATCGATTTATTTTGTCCATTAAAAAATATAAAGGCGTTAAAACCTAACAAGAAATTCCTGCACTGGACGGAATGCCCTTACATGTCTTTTTCTTCTTTCCTCCAGAGACACTAATGCCAGAGAAGTGCCAGTCTTTAGCATTTTCCACCAAGACATACACATTTACACCGCCCGAGTCTACAGAACCCTTTACATTCTTCACAGTCAAACCTGTGATTGGAACGCCTCCAGTTGGTTTACCAGTTGGGCTGCCATTTTCGTAGTCACCCTCGATAACAATACCGTATTTGTGAATCTTGGACAATTTGATGTTTTGGTAGGTGATGTCCGATACGGATCCTTTGGCTCCATAGACAGTCTTGATTCTAACTCCGTTATCAGATTTGGTGATTTCGCAATCACTGACCTTAACGTTTTTGACAACATTGTTGTCTCTACCACCAACAGAACCAATAGATATGCCATGACCCCCTGAGCAGTAATTGTCGGTAAAGGTGATTTTGGTTCCAGAGTTAATAGCCAAACAGTCGTCTTGATTGTAGATGGTGCAATGCTTGATTGTGACATCATTTGAGTTGCCAACGTCGAATGCATCGGTGTTGTGACCACCACCAGAGTCTCCAGCTTTGTTATCGATAGTAACATCTTGAATTTCCAAACCTTCACACCCGCTTATAGAGAAGGCGTGAACAGGCGTATTTTTTATGTTCAACTTGTGAATTTTAGAGTTCTTCAACTTGGCAGCGAAGAATTTTGGCTTCTTTTTGCCGCCGTTTCCCCCTTTACCATCCCACCACAATTTTCCCCTACCATCGAGAACGTGCCCTGAGGAACCGATGATTTCGATATTGCTACCTGCTACTTTGATTAGAGGACCTTTCCATTCTTTGTATGCCCAAGTGATTGTGCCTTTGAAGACAACTTTTGCACCGCTTTTAAGATGAGTTAAGTCCAAAGTCTCACCAGCTGGAACCTCGATACCGTTGAGTGTTAGTTCGCTACATTCTTTTTGAGCCTTTTTGATCTCGTCTTTTTTGTACTTGGTAAAAGTACACGATGTCGCACTGACGTTTTGAGGTGCCGAGTGAACGAAAGTTGCGCAAGCTACCACAGCTATCAGAAGAGGAATAAAAGAGCCCATTATTATCAGTCCTGAAACAAACAATATGCAACTTCGCGTAAGTGCTAAACTGACCCTACAATTTTATATTTATTTAAGGCGCTGTACTACTGTGACATAATTTGGTGCACACAATGAGAAAAAATTAACATTCACGTAAATAACTTTTATTTAAAGTTAAATAAAAAATAGATAAATTGGAATTGACTTATTGATGATTTTTTCAAAAGAGAATAAAATGAAGCAACGGTTAGAGAAACATTTTCATTTACGAAAATATATCAAAAATATAGATATCTTAGAATGGAAGTGTAAAAATTAAAAGTACACTCACCTTCTACACGACGAAGGATGATCTGCTCGTTGCAATGTGACTTTTTATAGTCATATATCACTCGAAAGTGGAGGACATTTGCCTATCACATTACGATTGAAAAGACCTTCGCTTAAAAATAACATGTTTATGATGACGATGATTATTATCATATTACTATATTATTTAAATTCAATTGTTTCATCAACTTCATTCAATATTGAAATAAGCATGAGTGACGGTGAATGAGTATTTTATTTTTTAGATCGCTAGAACTGTCTATTTTCTTTCAATCTGCGTTTCAGCGTAGTAGAAAAAAATATTTTGCGAGTAACCAAACCAACATTTTAAAAAACTCCAGGAAAATCGAGATGAAAAACGATAAAGCGAACTTACAACTAAGTAAAACGTAGGAAAATTTTATATTTGGGAATTATTTGATCATGGATGATTGGATATAGTTTAATTTCTCTGTGATGTAGATAAGAGACGAAAAGTATATTTTTACAACATTGCTATAATAATATAACCTCAACTTGGAGGCGGTTTCAGTATATTTAGAATATAGATAGAATTTGGCGTATATACAGTCTGTCTATTAAGTCTTAAGACTGATTTTATTATGGCGAAGTGCGTGGCGCTATCTATGTGCAGTCAATCTATCACGAAGTTATAGTTTTGCATAAACGCGTTTTTGATAGTTGTCATGGAATCGCACATTGAACAGCGTACGGCAATCAAGTTGTTTTAAAGCCGAGCCACGCAAACGTATCAAGTGTTGCAAACGGCATACGGAGAGGAGTGTGCATCACGTCTGACTCTGTGCTTAAGTCTGGTCGTCAATCAATCGTACACGTATCAATTTGCAAAATAGTCGTCCAAAGGACGGTGAGTATCTAGCATCTTTTGTGATCACTTTCCTCAAAGTGGAAAAATTTAAGTGTCGAAAAAGTGGCGGTATCGGTTGTTCTCGGGCATACTTCACAGTTCGACAATCGACTTCAGCGGTTACCGTTTACAACAGATATCAAGACTCGTAGTCAACTGCAAAACGAGTTGAGAGCCTTTTCTCATGGTAGCAAAAGATCAGCGCCTATTCAAGACGAGCGAGTAGCAGTTGATAGTAAACTATTTAAAACATCACCGCATATCAAATGCCATTCCTATGGAAAATTGGGACATAAGCGGGCAAAATGTCCGTCTATGATAGGCAAAAGGTACAGCAGAAGTGGAAATGCCAGTAGCAGTGCAATGTAGTGAGCCGTTTTCATTTTGGTTTGATTCAGGTGCAGAATGCTCTCTAATTAAAGAGAGCGTTGAATTTACCAACTCATTTATTCAAGGATTTTCAAGTGTACGAGTTAATATTGGAGAGTTTGAAATCCGATTAATTGACCCTAATGTGATCGTACAAAGGAGGCCGTATCGTTTAAGTACCGAAGAAAGGTAGATAGTAAGAGTAAGATTGACGAATTGTTAAAGGCATATGTTATACGTCCTAGTTCTACTTTTGTAAGTCGTTAAGAAAAAAGGTGGTTCTGATCGTTTGTGTGTCGATTTTCGTAGGTTAAACAATACAATACTATTGACAAATTTCCGTTATCTCTTATTGTCGACTAGACTGCGCTACTTAGTAACGTCAAATGTTTGGATATGGCGAACAGATTTCATCAAATTCCGGTTCATCCAGTATCTATTGAACGTACTATACTGCGTTCGTGGCACCTGATGGCCAATTTGAATACTTAATAATGCCATTCGGGTAGAAAAATGCGCCGTTCGTTTTCCAGCGAGCTGTCATGAAAGCTCTCGCGTACACATATGTAATTGTCTATATCAGGGGTCGGCAAGTAATTTTAGGTGGGGTCCGGATACTTTTGAAACTTTTTAACGAGGTCCAGAAAAAAAAATCATATTTCTTATTTTTTTATTTTAATTTGGACTCAAATTTAATCTGCTTACTAATTAAGAACTCAAAACACTCGCACAATTGTAAAATACTAGAAAAAATGATAAGATTGGCACAAACGTAAAAAACATTTTTAAATAATTATTTGAGTAATTTATACTTTCAAAAAATTTTTCGCGGTCCAGTATTTTACCTTCGGCGGTCCGGACCTGGACCACGGTCCGCCAGTTGCCGATCCTTGGTCTATATGGCGATATTATGATTATTGCCATCATAGAGGATGCATTCGAGAGAATTCGAGAAGTTATTGATATTCTTATTAAAGGTGAATTCTCTTCTAATTTCTCAATATGTTCGTTTCTTAAGACCTCTGTATAATACTTGTAATAGAAGTCGTAAAATAGAGACCTTAACAATTTATAGACCTTTTGTTATATTTGTCTTTATACCGCCTGACCTCGGGTAATAAGAACTCTTGAATGGACGGCAATGCACGAAACTGTCTATAAAAAGGTAATTTCGGTATTGACTAATGAGCCAATGCTGATGATTTTGAATCTAAATCTCCCTATTGAATACACGCAGATGTTAGTTCAGGTTATGGAGCTGTTTTGATGCAAAAACTTGACGGGTCAAATCAAGTTGAGAGTAGCATAGTGAAACGACTAGTCCAGCGGAGTCCAAATATCACTCATAAATTAGAGACGTTGGCTGTCTTTAATTCAGTTAAATTTTTTCGTCATTATTTACACGGTCGATCGTTTAAATACTGTACTTACATACTGTAACTCAGTGAAAGCTTATCGAAAGAAAGTTGATTTGACGCCTAGAGTTCATCATTGGTGGTTTTCTTACAAAGTTTTGATTTTGAGATCATTTATCGAGAAGGTAAACGTATGGCTCACGCATTCTTCTCAAGAAACCCTCTTCCGATGTCAGCTAGTGAAGAGACAAATAAAGTCGTATCAGTTTAACTGAAATTTCTGACGACTCGTTTCTCGTTGAACGTCGTGATTCTGAGATTTCTGATATAACTAAAAGGCTAGAGAATGATGAGCCAGCGACAGATCCTGCTAAAACATATATACACAAGGCGAATCCTTTTAACTTTCCAGTCAATGTCGGAGGGGGAGTCATTTCGTGAAAATGAACCTTAACAAATTATACTGAATATACTGTTGACTGTTTACGAAGACATTCAAAAGTATAGCATTTTTAAATGCTTAAATCATTATAGAATCGAAACTAGGGGGCCTACCCATCTTGTAATCTTAGATGACGGCATTTATAAATCCTTGAGATTCTATTGTTTTCCGAAACAATATTAAAGTATTTAAGTATATTTTTACGATAAGATCTACCGACGTGTTCAGATACATCTGATGAATGATTATGACTAAAGTTTAGGGCGTTTTTATCACAAATTACCGGTAGGTACCAAGTAGACGCCTCGTTTTGAGCCACACGAAAACAATTCACTGACAAGAATGGACTAGGAAATATGCGCCATCAACTATGTTACTTTGTCTTTAAAAGTGAAAAAAATAAGTAACTGGATTGATTGCATCAAGAGAAAAACCATTAATTATTTGAAATTAACTATTAGAATACAATTTACTTCAAGGAGGATCATGGTTACAAAATGGTCACAAGACCTGTTAAAATTGGGTCAAATATACAATAGTAGAAAATAAAAAATGTGAAAGAAAATAAGTTGCCTGTCAGGGATCCAAAATAAGCAAGAGCAAACTTGTTGAAGGCAAAGTTATATGCTACGAGAATGAGTTACGAAAGAGAAAATAGTTTTCTAAATTAGCAAAATATAACGATTACAACAAGAAAAGTGTATGTAATGGGTATATGTATTTTGAGCCCGTATCTTTAGTGTCCAACGTTTCAGAGCGTTATGGATTTAGTGTACAGGTTCATGGTTTATGGGTTTAAAACTCAACAGATATGTTTATATACTTTTTAAAAGAAATACAAAATTACTTATGTAACGAATAATATGGAGCTGGCTAATTGAAAGTAATTATATATTTCGAAACAATCTTTTCTTTTATAAGATAAAGAAAATATTACAACCACAAGTTTCTTATGTCACATTTCACAATATACAACAAGGTTGGTAAGGTTTATACGTGATATATTAGCAACAGTACTTTCTAATACAAGAAAAAATAAAGAGTCACATGTTTGTAATCTAATTAATATTTCTGAATAAACAAAATGTAAATGGTGTGAAATTATAACAAAATCAAAATTCAAAGTGTTGGTTCTTTTGCTATAGATACGAATATACTGCAAATTGCAGGTCAAAAATCATATATTTTTATACTAGGACTATCCAAACATGTTCGATGAATGTGAAGTTGTATGTTTAAGCACAATAAAAATCGATTACAGTTTTTAAATAAACATGACAAAAACTGTACCTTCTTTATACGGGTATGAAAGCATGCAGTATGCTAGTATGTTCGAAATATTTCTTATTAAACAAGATAAAAATCGCTAACATAACGACAATATTGCTTCAGCTTAAAATTTTCCGATAATAAATAATTCTCTTATGACCGACAATATCAGTTGTTTATAAATATTAAAAACAAGATACAGGAAATGAAAGACAGGATTGCACAATCCAATGTAATAAGTACACATAAAATTAAATAACTTATTCACAGGCTTGATGAAATGAAATTGTGTTGCAATTTAAACGGCTGTTCTAAATTGAAATACGTTTTTTTTTTTTTTTGAGAAAAAAGAAATAAGGAGGAAATCTATAAAAATATGTCCACAGAAGATACCACATAAAACAATACCAAACCATAAATCCATGAATCCA